CGTGGACAAAGAACTCGTCTATGTAATCCCCCCCTACCAAGATTCCTACATAACCCAAATTTTTCTGTAGCAATGTTAGGTTCCGCAGCTTCACACACCAACTCCCCCAAACATTTGACTGCTTTCAGCCAGTCCCCTTAGTGGGAATGAATTGGGGGCCCCCTTCACTATCAAGGGTGAAATTTTTCCCCTCGATTCCCGGCAAAACCCAAACCCTCACATTGAAATACTGGGTAAAGACCTCGGGGGACTTCCCCACCAAACCCCCTTCCCCCCCTTTTATGTCAACTTTACCAAATGTCCCCCAGCTTTTAACCTAGTTTTCCCAGACTCTCCCTATGAAGGTCTCTGTGCCCCACTGTCGAAGAAAAACGGGGGGTTTCAGACTTTTTCCCTTCACAACCATCGCCCTTAAGGGGGGCAAGGGCCCCCGAACCTTGAAACGCTCACCAGAACAAATTCCCCGGGGCAAATACCCCACCACACTCATCCCTACTTTAGACTTGGGCCCTTTCCCTCCGCCCCTTTTTCTGGTTTTCTCCCATAACTTGGCTAACCGGCGGGCATTTGGCACAGGCACTGTGGTGCTTTAAACCCCCCAGCAGCCAGGGCCCCCTGAGGTTTTGGGGGATACAGTCCTTGGGAAAAGGTTTTCCACAACACTTGAAACAAGTCCCCAACTCCCTTAAATCGTAGAACCCTTTGGGTTTTAGGTGGTGAAGCTTGAACACCCTGAACAAACATGTTCTCTACACCAAAAAACGCACCCTCTCAAACTGGCCGCCTTTAGTGACTTCCCCCTTTGGGTCCCGGGGGGGGAGGACTTGGGCCTGGGGATAAAAATGAGCCCAACCCCAAATAGGAGGTGGTTTGCTTTATCTCCCCCCGAGTACTGAGGGGTTGATCGAATTCCCCCCTTGGTCGGCAATTTTTCCCCCCGCCCCATGCTCCCGTGAGACATGAGATCTCCTAACCCTCAAAGATCTGTTTATTGTTTAACCGGGGGCGTCCGTATTTTAAGTGCAACTCGTGCACTGTAGGCCAGCCAGTTTTTTCCCCGAATCACCTGACTGATGAACCATTTCGAAATTTTTCCCCAATCATGTAAATCTTTTAAAACTATTTGTCAAACTTCCCTAACTTTCAATTTTTAAATTCTCTAGGCTCTGAGGCATGGCGACAAGCCTCTAGACCAACAAAACCCCATAAAGTAAGCTACCTTACCCTCATGTTGCCAAACGGGGTCCTTTTAAAATTGGGGCTTTGCCCCTGGTTTGGTAATTGGGGCCGGGGGTTTTTATAATGCCGGACCAAATCCCCAAACTTTACCCTTGAGCGTGAAAGAAATATTTTTTAAAATTTACTGCAAAAAGACAAATCGTCCCCTGGGAATCTACGGGCCTTTTTAAATGAACCCAGAAAACAATGTAAATCTGTTAAGGATCCGTCGAACGTTGGTTTAAAAACAACTGGGGCAAAACGCGCAACTCTTTTAACCCGGCGCGCCCGGTTTTGGGGCCCCTTTAAACATTTGGGTCCCCTTGCTGTACCCGGCCTTCAAAGTCTTTTTTTAACGCCCCGCAGAATCTCATCTCGCTTTTTCAAACCCCGGGCCCCTTTGTTTTGTCATAGTCCTCCCCTGCTACTTGGGGGGTTTTTTATTCAGAAATCAAACCCTTTGTATGGGCCCCTGTCTCATAAAGGATAAATGATCCCTCAAAGCCTTTCCCTCTTTGCTCCAAAGGTTTTTAGGCAACTCTCTAGTTCCCCCCCGTCTATGTATTGATCTTACCGACCGTACGACACTCCCCACAACTTTGCTCAGGCGCCCCTTATAGGCTCCCATAGACTGCTTTTTAGTTAAGCGGGACAGCTGGGACTACATCCTTTTTTACCTACCATAGTTTTTGGGATAGTTAAAACACGGTACTAAATTGTACTTCAATTTGCCCACAAACACGAACGGTATTAGGTGAGAATGGGAAAGAGTCTCAAGGCTTCTCAACAAACTTGAAAAACTCCCTTTTTTTATATTGACTCTACTCTGAATCAAAAAAAGTACACTTTTTAACTCCTCAAAAACCCAATCAAAATTTGTATCGGTGTGAAAGCTTAACCTAGCAAAATTTCCCGTACAATGCCAGCAAATAATTAAAAGGACCCTTTAACCCATCTCAGGTAAAATTTTACAAAACCCCAAAATTTAAAAAAGAATCAAAGAAAAATGAAAATCACACAATAAAAGGTGCAGTATACAAATTAAAAATTTACTTGGTTAACCAAAAAAATTTTAACAAATCAACTTTTGGGAAAAAAAAATAAATAAGGGGTTTTTAAACCCGCTTTTACCCCACTTACTCAGTCCAAATGGGGGATGGGTTTGGGTAAGGTAAATCCTAAACCCAACAGTGTCAAACTTAATTATCCTAGCTTTAGAAATCCCTGTAAAAAAAAACATGTTATATCTGTCCAAACTACTATAACTGGTTTTAAAAATTGCAAAAAGCCAAACCCAAAATGTGGGTAAACCCTTTCAAATCCCTGTAAGTAATTTAAAGCACAATTCCCCCTACTCTGGATTTTCCCTTGGGAATCACTGTAAATAATTAAATTTGCAAGCTTCTCAAGCCTACCTGGGCCTTTCCTGTAAATTTACAGCAAAAACAACTTCTGTGTATAGTCAGCTTGGGCCCAGCTCTGTGAACTCTGGGCCCAGGTTCTAAAATTTAAACCAAAATCCTTGGGTTTAAACCGGGAAAATAAATGTGGTTTTAGCTATGATAAACTTAACCCCAGCTATTCCACAACCCTTTTGAAGGACCACTTTTGTGAAAATTTGTGTTTCCCGCCTCCAAGTGAGTCGCCTACCCTGGCCCAAAACCCGTTGACACCGAGTCTGAGGTGGGTACCCTCAGCCTCACAAGTGGCTTATAAGGAATTTTCAAAATATTGATGTTACCAAAAAACTCGCCTGCATGCACTTTTAAAGGACTAACTTTCTTGTTTTTGCAGCATATAATTTCCCGTTTTTTCAACTTCCCTAAGGGTTTTGCCCTTTGCCCATTTTTAACTTCCCCCCCAAAACCATGTTTCAACCGGGAGCCTTAATTCCTGCAAAATTCAATCGTTATTAGTGACCAGCCTGCACCCAAAATTCCCATATCCAAGAGGGGATGTATCCCCCAGTAAAAACTATCATCCCTAACACTAGCTTCCAGACTGCCAAAACCCCTGGTAATTACTCGGCATGCACCCGCCCCGCTGCACACTGGGCCCACAGATCAAACTCACTCACAATTCTTTCCCCGACACCCCCAGAAATCTAAAGAGGATAAAGTTGGTGGTCTTTTTCTTACCCGTATGGGGCCACAGAGGTCCCTCTACGGGCATCGAGGTGCCTCCCACCAGATTTTTCCCCAGATCTCAAATTGAAAACACTGGGGGGGGACCGGGCCCGCGATCACGGGAAAAATCTTGCCATTGGTGTCCCGTCTTAAGAAGAACGAGCTGGTTCCCCCTTCAAGAAACCCCCGTTTTTTGTTCAATCAAAGGGGTGCCATTTTCCCCCCCAGCCCAACTTTTCCTAGTGTTTTCCTACATTATCGGCCTATTACACCCCAGGGTTTAAGATCTTAGGTCTACATTATTATTATCTACAGTTGCCTTAGTAAACCTAATATTAATATACTAACAGTAAAACTACCTACTCCTTCCCTGAAGGGTAAATCTATAAATAAATAAGTGCCTACCATCTATGCCAACCCGGGGAGAGAAATGTGTTTATGTTTGGGGAGAACGCTTTTTGTTTGGGTGAGTTTAAGGGCCACCCAGCTCAGCCATTCCATTACGCCCATGCCGGATCTGTCCTGTGGAACTTTAGGGACCAAATAAATTTTCACAGGGGTGGGGGGGTCGCAGGTGTTGGTGACAACCCACCGGCTCGTTCTTCACAGATTTTAGCCATCAATAATCCATCCAGATGACAGGAAAGCAGGTTTTTTTTCCACTGCAATTATGAGGGGTTATATCCTGCTACTTGCATACACAAACAGGTAAGTGGATCAGAAATTGGGATGCCTCAGAACGTTAGTCCATCTCCTTCAATTCTACTCGTTGATTGGCAGGTGACCCTCTCTGTCATTTCAAGAGTAGTGTTGGGAGCTGTGAGTCGAGTGATTTACTGTTTGACCGGAGCCCAACAGGTGGTAAGCCGGAGGTGGAACCACTGCCTGGCAAGCAGGTGGTAAGCCGGAGGTGGAACCACTGCCTGGCAAGCAGGTGGTAAGCCGGAGGTGGAACCACTGCCTGGCAGCCGAACTAGCGATTCATAACACTCACATAGTGTATCCAGTAATGTAATTTTCAAGGACAACCTAACAACATACATAACAATAATAATATTTACAACAGTAATAAAGAGCAATGTTCATGTATCATGATACGTGAGGTGTCAGGTAATAATATAAAGTCAAACATCTTCACTTTAGCTGTTGATGACGAAGTCAGCTGTATAATATTACGTGAAACACCGTAGTGTGAACATTTCTTAAATATATTATAGTGTAGGCTGGTATAAGGTGCAACACCTGCTACTTCCCTCACCCTGTTACTTACTTCACCCCACTACTTCCAGCACCCTGCTACTTACTTCACCCCACTACTTCCCTCACCCTGCTACTTACTTCACCCCACTACTTCCAGCACCCTGCTACTTACTTCACCCCACTACTTCCAGCTCCCTGCTACTTCCCTCACCCTGCTACTTACTTCACCCCACTACTTCCAGCACCCTGCTACTTACTTCACCCCACTACTTCCAGCACCCTGCTACTTACTTCACCCCACTACTTCCAGCCCCTTGCTACTTCCCTCACCCTGCTACTTACTTCACCCCACTACTTCCAGCCCCCTGCTACTTCCCTCACCTTGCTACTCCCTTCGCTCCACTACTTCCCTCAGGTTCTCTCTGGAATAATAATTGTGTGTCCTAACAGATGTTTCCTGGCACCTGGGAGACACATGTGGATCTTCGCTGGACCTCTTCTTCTCATACTCTTGGTGAGTTTACTCTCTTATACCTCTTAACTATTACTAACAACCAACCACGTAATAACAACAGCATTAACAACATTAGCAACAACGATAACAATGACATTAACGGCAACAGCAACAAAAACAATAATATTTATGGTAACAACATTAGCATCAATAACAACAACAATATTACCAATAATAGCGAATACAACAACAGCAGCAAAACAACACTAACAACAACATTAACAATAAAGCAAAAAAATCAATAACTATTGCACAGGTAATGAATGGCTTGAGAGACCTGGTCGTAATGGGAATTGTAGCAAACAAACTCAACAGTAGACTGTAAAGTATATTTTACCTTCACCCATTATATACAGATATGTACACTATGTACAATATGTACAGATAGAATAATAATAAGTGTACACCACAGTGACAGATGGCAAAGCAGAAGCCAGAGAGAGTGCACCGTACTCAACCAGCAGGTGGACAAGTCTGCCAGTGCTTATCACAAGTGAACCACGTTGCTTCAGCTTTGGTGGGCTTACCTGTGATTGGTCAGTGAACCAAGGTACTGATTTAACGACGGGTACCCTATCGATCGTTAAACCCTTAGTACCTGGTTCGCTGGTTGGGAGGCAGCCTATGTGGGAGTGTGACATATGCCAAATAAATTGTAACATACTCTTTGTATGCCATAATGACAATAACGACAGCACTGACAATAACAACAACAACAATAACAACGACAGCAAACACATTAAGAGTAACAATAACAATAATAGCAATAATAATACAACAACAATGAATCAACCGAAAAGAAAATAACAAGGAAAATAATAATAAGTATACTAATAACAAATAAAAAAACTTACTTTTAGCACAATTCAAAGTTTCCTCTCTGATATTAAGCAGGAAGCCAATAATTCAGCATGACTGAGAATTTTAAATTCGAGTTTAATACTTTCCTGTGCATTCTCCATCACTCAGGGCAACATAATGAGCTTCAGCTTTGCCCTGAGTGTAGCATGCAGGAAACAGCCTCAGGTACGAGGCAGCAGTCAACAGCGTCCTGGAGTCAAGGTGACTGGCTCAATCTCACTCTTCCTCATCCTCGGACTCACTTGGATCTCCGGCTTCTTCTTCGTCTCCGAAGGTGAATTCTCTCGTATTCTTGGTCATGTTGCTCCCACGCCTCTATGTGTTGTGTAGAAGCCAATTTTATTTGTACTCTTATTTAATGCAAGTTTTATATACACTCTTATTCATCACAAATTTTATCTGTACTCTTGTTTGTTTGCCCACACAGATTTTCCCTTTTAAAGGTATTAGGATATATGCTTTTCTTTATATCTTATTAGCCGTCTCTGTTAATTTATATTTACTGTACCAGTCGTGATTTCCTGGAGACGCAGTATGTCTTGGAGATATAATACTTGGAGTGTCTCCACAAGGAGAGTGATCTTGATACTATAAAGTCAGTTTTATTGCGAATAACTCATTGCTTAATAGTTGCAAATTGAGTCGGAGGCAGACAGCCACAGATGATTGAAGGTTGAAGGATAAAGATAAGTGATTTATCAGCCGGGACAGATATAGCACGGTCGTTCAAAAACTTCAGGAATGATATACAGTAAGTAGCAACTGTAAGAGACGATTATTATTATTATTATTATTATTATTATTATTATTATTATTATCAGAGAAAGCGCTACACTAACAAGGGTCATACAGAGCTGCAGGGCAGAATGTAGTGCAGAGGTTATAATCAGCTAGGTGGAGAGGGGATCAGAAGTGAAGGACTGCAGTTGCTGGCAAAAAAGTAAAAAAGTGCTTGTAAGTCAAAGGCAAGGTCATCTGCAAGTAGAGAAGATAAAGCAAGAAAGGGAGGGAGGGAGGCGGCATCGTTGGAGGCAAATCTTGCAAGCTCACTGGTAAATTGGGCAATCGACAAGGAAGTGAAGAACCGAAACAGGGACCTGACAAGCCTCACAGAGAGGGCCAGGGCGTCTATCCATGAGATACCCATAGGTAAGGCGTATATGACCAATGCGGAGCCAGGAAAGCGCAGGCTCCCGAGAACGGCAATGGTAGTAGAAAGATGGCCACAAACCTAAATGAGGTTTAATAGAGCGCAATTTGTTATGGGGTATCCCCGACCACCGTTGTTCCCAACGGCAGTGGAGACGGGCAGAGATGTCTGGAAAATAGATCCTGTATGGAATACCCTTATAAGAAACCGGGAGATCATGCACTGCTGACCACGCAGCAGCATCTGCCTGCTCATTGCCCTGCACACCAACGTGACCAGGGACCCAGCAGAAAACTACATCTTTATTCTTGCTAGCCAAGTGGCTCAACCACTGTTGAATACGAAGGACCAATAGATGAAGGTAATCAAATTGTTTAATGGTTTGTAAAGCACTGAGGGAATCCAAAATGATCACGAACGTCGAAGGAGAGATATATGTAATATGAAGAGGCGCTATGAGGATGGCATACAACTCTGCAGTAAAAACGCTAGCTGAGTTCAACAAGTGGCCTCGGACAACATCATCAGGGAAAACTGCCGTGAACCCAACACCATCAGCAGATTTAGAACCATCTGTATATACAGCAATGGCATGAGCATGTGACCGGAAGTGTTCGAGAAAAATAGAACGAGTAGCAGGCGTAGCTAAGAAAGTTTTGGCGCACGGTAGTTGGGGGAGGGCAGACACGAACTGTCGGAACTTCCCAGGGGGTAAGGAAAAAGGCAGACAATAAATGAATGTACAAGGGGGGCAACTGGAAAGAAGATCAGAGTGAATGTGAAGAGAAAACGGTAGGAGTAGGCAGGGGCGTCGAGCAGTGGGTTCTTACTAATGTCTGAGACTAGCCTATACGTGGAAGGAATACGAAGATCATGAGTGCGGACAAAATAACGAAGACAATGAGTATCACGACGATCAGCCAGGGAAGGAACATTCGCCTCTGCATAGAGGCTTTCAACAGGGGATGAACGAAGGCACCAAGGCACAGACGGAGACCTTGGTGGTGAATGGGATCTTACTTAGAGTTACAGGAGAGGCCGCAGAATAGATTTGGTCACCATAATCTAGCTTGGACAAGACTAGGGTGAAATGCAAATGAAGGAGAGTGCTACGATCTGCTTCCCATGAACGATGTGCAAGAACCTTACAGAGATTTAGCCAACTATGGAAAGTTGTCTATAAAGAAGGAATGTGAGGTCTCCACGTCAGCAGATGATCAAAGAGCAGGCCAAGAAACTTGACCGATACGTGAACCGTGTAAGTACAATGGAGTGTCTGGAATAAGTGCACATCTAGTGAAGGTTATGAATCGGGTTTTCGTACTAGAAAATTTAAAGCCATGAGAAGTGGTCCAGTGGGATACTCTGCCTATCACAACCTGAAGGGAGGCTGCTACTAGTCGACAGTCAGCGCCTGAGTAAGTTATAGCGAAGTCATCAACACAAGGTGACTACCAAATACACAAAGGAAAAACAGAAGGTAGGTCCATTTATAGCTAAGAGAAAAGGAGTAGTGCCGAGGACACAACCTTATGGGACTCCCTCGGCTTGTATAAACTCCGAGGAAAGTGAGGTGCTAATACGGACTCAAAAATGTCTATCGGACAAGAAAGTGATGAAGCTTGGTAGATTACCGCGGAAGCCTAAGGAGAGGGCTTGGAAAAGAATGTTATACCTCCAAGTCGTGTCATATGCCTTCTCTAGATCAAAAAAAAACCGCTAGGACAGAGTGGTTGTTAGCAAAGGCATTTTGAATATACGTATCTAATTGGAGCAAGGGGCCTAAGGCAGAAAGGCCTTTGCAAAAGCCATATTGGCGAGGGGAAAGGCTACTGTGAGTCCCTAAGAACCACATTAGATGTCTATTCACAAATCGTTCCATTACCTTGTAAACCACACTGGTCATGGCAATGGGACGATAGTGAGAGGTGTCAAGCCCCAAGGTGCCCGGTTTGCAAAACGGTAGTACAATAACAGATTTTCCTTGTTGAGGGAGAATCCTTCGCTCAACAGATATAAAAGATATAAAAGAATGGGAAGGGCCATAGAGTGGAGATGTTGTAGCATACTGATGTGGATATCATCAGGTCCAGTTGCCGACGGCTGGCAAATGTAAAGTGTGGACTCCAATTCTAGGAGAGTAAAAGGTATATTATACAGCTACAGTCTATTGATGGAGAAATCTAAGGGCTTAGATGCAAGAAATGAGGGACAGAGATGAAGCCTCCAGGAAATATGGACAAGATAGCTCCCGATTTCTGTGGCCACTTCTAGAGGTTCTGCGACATCAACTCCAGCAACCCGCAAATCGGGAGCTGGGTCCGGAGTGTATTTACCACACAATTTCTGCACCTTTTTCCAAATTGCACACATAGGGGAAGATGAGGTAATGGTAGACACGTAGTCTCGCCAACAAGCACGTTTAGCGTCGCGGATGACACGGCGAGCAACGGCCCTTGCCTGCTTAAAAATCCAACAGGCGCTCCATGGCATGGTTATATCGATATAACATGCACACCAAGGTACGCATGTCTTTGAATGCCTACCTGAGATTTGGGGGATAGAACACGTCGCTGCAGTTAGGACTAAGGTCGAAAACTGGTGCTCCAGTTCATCAATAGACAACGAAAGGGGGTCCTTGCAACCGGTGGTAAGCTGGGAGTATAAGTCCCAATCTGCTCGAGCAAATTACCAACGAGGGCTACGAAACTGTTGGGTATATGTAGTAGAAGTAAGAAGGATAGGAAAGTGATCACTTTCATGTAAATCTGGAAGAACTGACCACATGAAATCAAGTGCACTGGGCGAGGAACAGATAGAAAGATCAGTGCAGGAAAGAGATTGAGTGCAAAAGTCAAAATGGGTAGAAACACCCATATTTAAAACATAAAGAGGATGAGAAGCGAGAAGAGTCTCAAGCTGATCACAACGAGAGTCGCAGTGGGACCCTCCCCACAGGTGATGATGAGCGATGGTAGAGAAGAAATTAAGAACACGATATCAGAGATACAGAATGCACTGGAGGGAGAAAGATAAAGAGAGCAAACTGTAAACAATCTGTGTAAATAAATGCGAGCTGCAGTATAATGCAATGGGAATGAACAAAAACTTGTTGATACATTATATCAATGTGCACATGAAGGGAGCTTTCATTAAATGATTCGTCAGGTAAAGGATCAGAAGAATGTAACAGCATTTAGCCCAAAACGGGGTGAATGACAGGAGAACGAATTTTGGGCTCTTGCAACCCAACACATACTGGGGACAACTGGGAGAGCAACACTTGGAGTTCTTCTTGATTGCCCCTAAGCCCACGAATATTCCATTGTAAAAAGACATTATGTACAGATATAAAATGGGCAACAATAAAAAACGATAAAATCTATGAGCTTTTAGTGATCTGTAAAGTCAATGTGTGGGGTAACAGTAAGCATGTAAGCAAGGAAGAATTAGAATGTTGCGGAGGAGTAGATTGTTGCGAGGGTCGTGAAATAGAGGGAGTAGGAGGCACGTTGGTGTCCATCAGGGGTGTCATCTCCGCAATATAGTTGGAGATAGCGTCTAACGTCTCAGTTATTAAGGAAGCCGACAATGTCATGATGTCAGAGACGGAAGAGGCATTGCAAGTAAAGGTCGGAGTAACTATGGAAACAACCAAAGAGGTCTGAGGGGGGCAGGGAGTATGAATCTGGAGAGATGTGTCGGCTGGGGTGGAAGAGGAGAGGGTAACTATGGAGGAAGACGGGGGTGAACAGGGCAAGAGGGGACTACACGAGGGGGGGTGAACCTCTACCTGCATGTGAGAGGTGGAAAGGGGGTGAGAAATAGGATCTGAGGTAGAAGATATATTATGTGCAGGTGATGGACGTGAAGAAAGTGTAGGTTAGTGAGGTCTTGTAGACTGAGAAGCAAGCGAGCGAGATGAAGAAGTAGAAGTAGAAAGTGATACAAAGGTAGGGGTGTCAGAGGATAAAACTGCAAAAGAATTAGAAACTGGGGCGACACCAGAAAACAAGGATGCAGAAGGATTGGGAGGCAGGAGGACCATCGATGTTGGAGGTCTTCGGGTTATCTGAGCATATGGGACACAAGGGATTTTACCTTGAAAGTGGAGCTGATAGAGAGCTATAGTGTAGGTGAGGCCCTAATACTCCTTAAGATAATGGATCCCTCATTCATTACGATAAACTGGCAATGGCGTGAAAAAGAAGGATGATGTTCCTTGCTATTGAGACAAGAGGGGAAAGACTACAAGACGTAGTGGAACGATCTGCTGCGATGCAGATCGGGCATTCTGCCGCAGATCTGCAGTGTTTAGCGGGGTGTCCAAAACACTAGCAATTACGACACTGTTGGGGAGTGGAAACTACATGACAGACCTCTAGGTGATGTCCTGCAATATAGACAGAGGACGGAAGTTCATGGTAGTCAAAGGTTAAACAAGCGGTGTTACTAGGAAAGCACCTCTGCCCACGAGAAGGCAGGATGTACATATCTACCATAAGAATAGGAAGGTTTTGAAGAACTAGTTGTTCTAAAATATCCTCGCTGCAAGACAAAAAATCACTCAGTACAATGGTACGCAGTAAGACCACAGTACCACTCCAAGAATTAAGAGTAGCATGCTTACAAACAGTGACTGGTATGTTATCTATGGAAGTGATGCAGGAGAGCATGAGCTTGCTCTGAATTCTGCACTGTTACAACACACGCACCGCTTCAAAGAGCATGGAAGGATACATATTAGCCAATGTGCCGTAAAAGAGTTTAACCAGTTTCATGATCAGAAAGATAATCAGTTTGAGACGTCTTCTGTAAGGAAAAGAATTTTGTCCGTTGCTTACTTGTTAGCCTGGTACACAAAGGTAGTGAGTGTCGTGTAGGTCGTTTTTGAGCTATAATCGACGAACTGTCGTCAGTAAGTTGTCTTGGATATTTAGGAGTAGAACGGCAGGCGGCCTGACCTGAGGGAGGTGGGTGATCCGAAAACCGTTGCACCATATTCGGGGAAGCCGGATGCATTGTGAAAGGCTGTGAGAAGCAGCGGCATGAACAGAAATGGGTGACGCCACAGCACTTGAAGCAGGTGACGAAGCATCACTGGCAGAAGGTACAGGGGTATGAGAAGAGTCGAGAGAATGGACTGATAACGAAGCCGGGTCAGAACAGGGTGTGGGATCAGAAAGGGGTTTGGGAGGAGGAAAGTTTTCACTGAGTGAAGACTCCATAATAAAGGTTCTTCTTTTGTGATATCTCCTTTCTTGTTATTTTAAGAAAAAAAGAAAGAAGGAAAGAAAAATAAAAAGAGGGACAGTGGAGGGACAGTCGCTAGGAGACATGGAGGGGCAGAAAGCTCCTCCCCTCATCCGAGAGGGCCTCGAGCCCACTGGCAGTGAAGATGCAGCATGGAACCCATGCCATACCCTACCCTTCACGCCAGTAAACCAGCATTCTGGGATAGCAGCATCACATCTACCGAGCTACCTCGGCGGACAAAAGAAAAGGCGGTCGGAAACCCGCCACAAAGCATTCATCCTTCAGCTGCCACACCCTAGAACCGACAGGTAGCTTCTGGAGATACATCAATTACCTGAAGGGCACCTCGCCCACTTCCGGGAAATCGGGGATGGGAGCAGGGCACCTTCAGACAATTCAGATTCCACAGCAAACCACACCACCCCTGAGGGACCTCACAGAGTGGGACGAGCCTCAGCATACCACCCCCTACCTAGAAACTGTAATGCCAGAGGGGAGGACCCCAGAGGACACAAAGTGGACGGGAAACAAGGGGAGGGTTGGGTAAGGAAAGGAGGATTGGGGGTAATTAGGTTCGGTCGGAGGAAGAAAACCACTACAAGGAGTCTCCCCTTGAAGAAGTGTTGGTGACGAGATCGTCCTTGTTACCACTTAAGGAAGAACACAATCAGCACTAAAAATTCCGTTCTCATCCAGCTCTTTCTATGGGAAATCAAGTCAGGAACTAAAGACTGGGAGAAAACAAGAGGCTTAAAGCAAGGCTTAAGACAATACTTAACAAAATTAAAACGTTTACTAGAGTCATCAAGAAGACAAAATTCCATCACCAAAGAATATTGATGTATGACGGGTGAAGGTGACGTGAGGCGACATAAAGCACACTGAATAAAGGAAAAGCGAGAAGAACAGAAAAGAAAATCTTAAGTATAATGAAGATGGCAAATGACGAAACAAAGAAAATTAAAAGAATTCCCCCACTGGATAGGTCAACTCATGGCCCCTCGCGAGAGATACCTGTAGAACCAGGCAATCATACTACAGTCACACGTATCAAGCACTCATACTAGTCACACGAACCAGTCATACTACAGTCACACGAATCAGTTATACTACAGTCACACAAGTCAATCATACGACAGTCACACGCATCATACTACAGTAACACGGACCAATCATACTTCAGTCACACACATCTATCATACTCAGTCATATGCATCAATCATACGTTGTCTACGCTTATCCTTAACATGTGTCAAAGCAAAAATTAATTCACATTTTTTTAAGATAACTCTTGTGTTTCCGCTTCACAGTTACGAAAGAATTAGCCTTTGTGTTCACTGTTCTCAACTCACTGCAAGGAGCCGGCATCTTCGTCACCACTGTGCTTATGAACGATAAAGTGCGAGACGAACTGGCTTCTCTGCCTCTTATAAAGAGTTGTATCACTGCAGTAAGTTTATTGTGGAAGTTAAACAGAAATAATACTGAAACACGTTGAATATAGTAAAACTTAAGTCAGTATTTTCACAAATAGTGAAAATATTCCATTAACACATAATTCTTACTTAGTAAAGCTCATTAAGATATTTATATAGTATAAATCTCCTCATGAATAACAAAAAGAAGACACAATACCGTGACTGAAACGATACACAAATAACTCGCACATAGAAGAGAGGAGCTTACGACGACGTTTCGGTCCGACTTGGACCATTTACAAAGTCACACTAACGAAAAGGAGAGAAGGAGGGAGTATACATGGGCCAGGAGGTGGTGGTAATAGCAGTAGTAGTAGTAGTAGTAGTAGTAGTAGTAGTAATAGTAGTAGTAGTAGTAGGAGTAGTAGTAGTAGTAGTAGTAGAAGTAGTAGTAGTAGTGGAGGTAGAAGGTGGTAGTAGTAGTAGTGGGGGAGGAGGAGCCAGTCAAATACCAGAAAGAGGAGCACTGCAAAGGAGCTCGGTGCCCACAGAGGGTAAGAGCAAGAACACAGAGGAGGGGGGAAATAAATAAATAAATAAATCAAGAAGGAATAAATACACAAGGAAGAAGAAAGAAAACCCCACTACTGCTACTTCCTTCTACCTCCAGTACTACCACTACTACTACTACTACTACTACCACCTTCTACCTCCAGTACTACCACTACTACTACTACCACCTTCTACCTCCAGTACTACCACTACTACTACTACTACCACCTTCTACCTCCAGTACTACCACTACTACTGCTACCACCTTCTACCTCCAGTACTACCACTACTACTACTACTACCACCTTCTACCTCCAGTACTACCACTACTACTACTACCACCTTCTACCTCCAGTACTACCACTACTACTACTACTACCACCTTCTACCTCCAGTACTACCACTACTACTACTACCACCTTCTACCTCCAGTACTACCACTACTACTACTACTACCACCTTCTACCTCCAGTACTACCACTACTACTACTACCACCTTCTACCTCCAGTACTACCACTACTACTACTACTACCACCTTCTACCTCCAGTACTACCACTACTACTACTACCACCTTCTACCTCCAGTACTACCACTACTACTACTACTACCACCTTCTACCTCCAGTACTACCACTACTACTATACTACCACCTTCTACCTCCAGTACTACCACTACTACTACTACTACCACCTTCTACCTCCAGTACTACCACTACTACTACTACTACCACCTTCTACCTCCAGTACTACCACTACTACTACTACCACCTTCTACCTCCAGTACTACCACTACTACTACTACTACCACCTTCTACCTCCAGTACTACCACTACTACTACTACCACCTTCTACCTCCAGTACTACACTACTACTACTACTACCACCTTCTACCTCCAGTACTACCACTACTACTACCACCTTCTACCTCCAGTACTACCACTACTACTACTACTACCACCTTCTACCTCCAGTACTACCACTACTACTACTACCACCTTCTACCTCCAGTACTACCACTACTACTACTACTACCACCTTCTACCTCCAGTACTACCACTACTACTACTACCACCTTCTACCTCCAGTACTACCACTACTACTACTACTACCACCTTCTACCTCCAGTACTACCACTACTACTACTACCACCTTCTACCTCCAGTACTACCACTACTACTATACTACACACTTCTACCTCCAGTACTACCACTCTACTACTACCACCTTCTACCTCCAGTACTACCACTACTACTACTACTACCACCTTCTACCTCCAGTACTACCACTACTACTACTACCACCTTCTCCCTCCAGTACTACCACTACTACTACTACTACCACCTTCTACCTCCAGTACTACCATACTAACTACTACCACCTTCTACCTCCAGTACTACCACTACTACTATACTCCCAAACCTTCTACCTCCAGTACTACCACTATCTACTACCACCTTCTACTCCAGTACTACACTACTACTACTACTACACCTTCTACCTCCAGTACTCCCCACTTACTACTTCCACCTTCTACCCCCAGTACTACCACTATACTATACTACACCTTTCTACTCCGTATACCACTTATACTATACACCTTCTACCTCCAGTATTTCCATATATATATACCACCTTCTGCCTATATTACAATTCTCTCCTTTTCTTTGTGTGACTTTGAAAATGGTTCAAGATGGACCGAAACGTCGCGTAAAGCCTTCTTTTCATGTGCGGGTTATTTGTTAATAAATCTCCTCATGGCTACCATATACACATTATGTTTATGTATTGGTCAATGTAATTTAATAATTGACCTGGACCATATTTTCTACCAGGCACTGTAAGGGAAGCCTCTTTCTCCTGATAAAGGGTTTGCCAGGGGATTTAAAGATAACTTACTTACGCAGTTGAATGGAAAAGAAAAAACTAGAAGGTCGTGTCTTGGAAGAGCGCGTCACTCACTACTCTAAAATGTATTGTAAACTTAAAATACTTGGTACAGGTGGTAATTCTTGTATGGTACAGATGGTACTTCAGGCCACTCACATGGTACAGATGGTATTGAATGCCACTCACATGGTACAGTTGGTACTGCATGCCACTCACATGTTGAGATGGTACTGTTGCCACTCACATGGTAGATGGTACTGCATGCCACTCACTGGTACAGATGTACTGCATGCCACTCACATGGTACAGATGGTACTGTATGCCACTCACATGGTACAGATGGTACTGCATGCCACTCACATGGTACAGATGGTACTGCATGCCACTCACATGGTACAGATGGTATGCATTGCCACTCACATGGTACAGATGGTATTGCATGCCACTCACATGGTACAGATGGTACTGCATGCCACTCACATGGTACAGATGGTATTGCATGCCACTCACATGGTACAGATGGTACTGCATGCCACTCACATGGTACAGATGGTACTGCATGCCACTCACATGGTACAGATGGTATTGCATGCCACTCACATGGTACAGATGGTATTGCATGCCACTCACATGGTACAGATGGTATTGCATGCCACTCACATGGTACAGATGGTACTGCATGCCACTCACATGGTACAGATGGTATTGCATGCCACTCACATGGTACAGATGGTACTGCATGCCACTCACATGGTACAGATGGTACTGCATGCCACTCACATGGTACAGATGGTATTGCATGCCACTCATATGGTACAGATGGTATTGCATGCCACTCACCTGGTACAGATGGTATTGACTCGACTCGAGTCATACCCCGGCCGGGGGTATGGTTTATTTGCAATCGTGTCATTACGATTTCTTGAGTCATGTTGACGGCAGTGAAGGGACTTGAGCTAGAGTTCGTCACGGCCACGCTAGCTGGAGATTCGTCTGTAAAAACTTGCATTTGTGGTCACAGAGGTGCCTGTGCTAACTTTCCTATGGTGTAGAAATATACCTAGTTGGATGAATCTTATTGTGGCTAGCTGGTCTAGTGGCTAACGCGACGGGCTGGAGTTTTGAGACTCTATGACCGCGGGTTCAATCCCGGCCGAGGGTATGGTTTACAGATGGTATTACATGAGACTCACTTGGTACAGATGGTATTGCATGCCACTCACTTGGTACAGATGGTATTGCATGCCACTCACATGGTACAGATGGTACTGCATGCCACTCACATGGAACAGATGGTACTGCATGCCACTCACATGGTACAGATGGTACTGCATGCCACTCCCATGGTACAGATGGTATTTCATGCCACTCACATGGTACAGATGGTATTGCATGCCACTCACATGGTACAGATGGTACTGCATGCCAGTCACATGGTACAGTTGGTATTGCATCCCACTAAACATGGTACAGATGGTTTTGGGCATTTTACTCACATGGTACAGATGGTATTGCATGCACTCACATCTTTCAGATGGTACTGCATGCCACTCACATGGTACAGGTGGTACTGCATGCCACTCACATCGTACAGATGGTACTGCATGCCACTCACATGGTACAGTTGGTACTGCATGCCACTCACATCGTACAGATGGTACTGCATGCCTTCACTTTGGTACAGTTGGTACTGCATCCCATTTCACATCGTACAGATGGTACTGCATGCCACTCATATAGTACAGATGGTACTGCATGCCACTCACATGGTATAGATGGTACTGCATGCCACTCACATCGTACAGATGGTACTGCATGCCACTCACATGGTACAGATGGTACTGCATGCCACTAACATGGTACAGATGGTACTGCATGCCACTCACATGGTACAGTTGGTACTGCGTGCCACTCACATCGTACAGATGGTACTGCATGCCACTCACATGGTACAGATGGTACTGCATGCCCCCTCACATGGTCAGATGGTTTGCATGCACTAACATGGTACGATGGTACTGCATGCCACTCAAGGTCAGTTGGTCTGCGTGCCACTCACATCGTACAGATGGTACTGCATGCCACTCACATGGTACAGATGGTACTGCGTGCCACTCACATGGTACAGTTGGTACTGCATGCCACTCACATCGTACAGATGGTACTGCATGCCACTCACATGGTACAGATGGTACTGCATGCCACTCACATGGTACAGGTGGTAATGCAGGCCACTCACATGATACAGATGGTACTGAATACCATTCATACGGCATATATGGTACTGTATACCATTCATAAGATACAGATGGTGCTGCATAACATTCACATGGCACGGATGGTACTGTATACCATTTACATGGTACAGATGGTACTGCATACATTTACATGGTACAAATGGTACCCAACACCTTTTATATAGTACAGATGGTACTGCATACTATTCATGAGGTACAGATGGTACTGAACACCATTCATATGGCACGGATGTTACTGCATACCACTCACATGCTACAAATGGTACCGCATACCATTTACATAGTACAGATGGAACTGCATACCATTTACATGGTACAGATGGTACTGCATACCATTTACATAGTACAGATGGTACTGCATTCCATTTACATGGTACAGATGGTATTGCATACCATTTACATGTTACAGATGGTACTGCATACCATTTACATGGCACAAATGGTATTGCATACCATTTACATGGTACAGATGGTACTGCATACCATTTACATGGCACAGATGGTATTGCATACCATTTACATAGTACAGATGGCACTGCATACCATTTACATGGTACAGATGGTACTGCATACTATTTACATGATACAGACGGTACTGCATGCCATTTACATGGTACAAATGGTATTGCATACCATTTACATGGTACA